GGAAGAGAGTAAGCAAGGCCCAGCAGGCCTGATCTGCCTCCTTCAATCATCATGATCACAAACCCTATCCATCACATGTCCTGTTGGATAACAATACCAAGAGTACATTTTATGGCTTACACTTCCCTCCATTGCACACTAATCTCTGTATAGGACCCCTTATTGTTTTAAGACCAGGGCAGGAAGTTCCACTTTCTTCCTTAAGATTCACTAGCTCTGTCATTTTCTTGTCACCTGGAGCAGTGTGTGTTGTTGTGCCATATATCATGAATAGTACTTTTCCAGTTTGGCTTCGCCTTTGTGATAATGAAGGAATCTCCTGTTTCCTAAAACTGTAGAACTATAAGTTATATTGCATACAAGATTACAGACAAGTCTTTGTTTAAATAACATTTTAAACAACCTATTTAAAATGGACCCAACAAATCTACCAAAACACATCTGGCTACAAAACCCTGGATCAAACAAGCTTTAAAATAATGAAGTTAGACCATCTATATTTTAGATGTTAGACCCTATATCTTGTTCAACTCAAACATTGTAAAATAATCAAAAATATGTAATGTCTACTATTTGAAGACCCAGCTCTCCCTAGGAAGATGTACTGAGGTTAGTATCGGTTTATCTTGAAAATTGAGAAGCTGACTAGATTAGTAGACCCAAATGTTGACCCACCTGAATCTTTCCCCCTTTATATCTGTTTGCAGAGTCCATGTAACCTCCACTACATGTGCCCATTTCCCTAAAAAGAGAGAGCAATGTTTCAGTGTGCTTTTCAGTTTATTATATCTGGATCCTGGCACTCAAGAACTCTACAATGAATAACCAGTACTTGTAAATAATGGAGGAATACTTCAGTTAAGAAACATATTAGTGTTGTAATAACAAGAATACCTAGCACTTCAATAGCACTTGCTCATATCTCAAATGCACTTGAAAGGTTAAATATTACTATCCTCAAGTCACAAAGGGAGAAACTAAGACTTACACAGCAAACTTCCCAGAGTGAGCCAGTAAAATTCCAAAGAATTAATATTTACCTAGACAGCATCTTTGGAAAAAAATAATCAGATATTACCTAAAAAACATCCTTTTTTAACAAAAAAAAAATCAGATATTTATTTCTACTTTAAAGATTTGTTAGGTTTTCTGCCAGTAATCTATTATATATTTGAGAGTTTGTACATCTGTCTATACCCATTTGTTCAAGAACTCCTCCTAATCAAAGAGTTAGGGCAACCAAATTTGTTATGCAGCTTTCTCTTATCATAACTTAAAGCAAAGTCAGCGTTTGGTCGTGCCAAGACAATGGGATGTTTGTGGAAAGCGACTGTTTCTCATCAAATGAGAAGGAAGGGCTGTGGTAGCAGGGATAGTTATACCCCAAAAGAAGGGAGGCCAACTGGCGGTTCGCGGGCCACATGCGGCTCTTCTCCCCCAAAAGTGCGGCTCGCAAAGCCACTCCTGTGCCCCCCCAACGGCCCCTGCCTGCCCTGTGCTCACCGGGGCAGCAATTCAAAATGGTGCCCAAGATGGCAGCCATTTTCGGGAGCCTGATATGGTCAAAAAGCCTAAGCTTGTTTCTTAAATGGGAAGTCTCCCCCCCCCTTTTTTTTGCGCTTGACAATTCTGGGGGGCTTTCCTCCTCCCCCCCCCTTCTCGACAATTCTGGTGTGGCTCTTCGCATTTTTTCTGCCACTGTCTCGGCTCTTTGTTAAATGGGTTGGCCACTCCTGCCCCAAAATAACCACAGGGAGCAGCAAACACTCCAGCCCCAGGGAAAGTTGCCATGCAGCCGCCCTCCCCCTCCCCACACACACACAGGCTGGCCCTTGGAAGCAGCTACCACCACCTCCCTCCCACCCCCGGAATACCACAATACCTCCCAACCCTCTGCCCTGACTCCTGGCCTCCCCTGCCTTGAGCTCCCCATCTCCTGCTCTGATTCCTGTATTCCCCACCTCCTGTCCTGACTCCCCTCACCCGCCAACCCTGAATCCTGCATCTCCCACACCTCAGCCTCCTCGCTGAGCCTTGCACATCCCCAAACCCTTGCCCTGACTCCTGCAACCCTCTCCTTCAGCCATGAAGGTCCCGAGCATTGCCAGGTAAGTCTTATAGCATTCATTAAAAAAATAAAACACAGACCCCCATCTAACAGCTTAAATAAGACATCCAAACTGCTGAACTGGATGCTATGAACTTACAGACTTAAATTCTTATGCTTGAGTTCTGAATAAAATACTACCTTGTTTTATTGCACGGTGCATTATTCTTAATGCACATTTATAGTATGCACTTAACAAAAGGAGGATTGACTAAAGAAGGGACTAGGCAATATATAATGTGGGGCTTCCAGACTCAATCATTCAGATACATTATTTTAAAAATGAATATAAAATGCAACAACTGGTTGCAAAACTTCATCTTGTGAACTTTGTCCACAGAAAATAAATTTATACTGAAATTAAACAGATATGCTTTGTGTTGTTTTTAAATAGATCAACAAGTGGCCAACTGCCATGACCAGCACATTTGCTTCTTGCAATTCACCTGAGCACAAGATTCTTCTTCAAAGCCAAAGATGGTAGTAAATAGCAGCTAGCAAGAGAAATTAGTCCACTCTGAGATAAAAACCAAATATTTGTGTATTTCAACATTTCTGTACTTGAGAACAGTTCCTCTAAATTGCATGGAGAAAAGAAAAAAAATCTGGTTTTTTAAGAACAAAAAAATATACAGTTGACCCTCAGAGTTACAAACACTAGTCAACCACAACCTCACTGAATCCGGAAATATATAATCAGGCAGCAGTAGAGACAAAACCAGCAAATACAATAACGTTAAGTGTAAAAAACTCTAAATTCTACTTAAAAATAAAAGGGATTTTTTTCTGGACAGTAAAGTTTCAAAGTTGTATTAAATCAATGCTCAGTTATAAACTATAGAAAAAAAATCACCATAATGTTTTGTTCAGTTACAAAGATTTCACAGTTATGAACAACCTTATTCCTGAGGTGTTTATAACTCTGATGTTTTTACTGTATCCGACACCCAGTTATAACATATATGATTTATTATTCACCATCATATGAAAAAGCCCTCAATAAGCAATAATGAAAAGGGGATATAAGAAACCAAACATATTTTTCCCTCTTATCCTAAAGAAGTCAGTGGACCTGAAATGAAAACTTTTGATACCAAACATGTAGAATGTTCATTACCAGTTAACATTGAAAACACCATTTAAGTGGAAAATGAGAGACATGCTGAGGTTTCCATTAAAGTTTTATTTAAATTAGCATTTGTCAGTCTTAATATTGAATTATGTTTTTAACAATTATTCATGAGATTTTACCTACTTGTAGCTTCATTTATAGAAAAATATGAATATTCAAAACATGTTTAATTTTCACAAAACAAAAAGAGTAACATAACTGAATGTAAAGACATAAAATGAGAAGTCAAAGCAACACAAATCTGAAACATGGGTAACAGATGAACAAGGAAAGGTTTTAAAGCAATAACAAAGGCAATCAATAGATAAAAGGGATTTCTCATAATCTCAGTCAATCGAGACACACGATACTACAAACAGTGGGAGAATTTCCTCCAAAAAATGTGGTGAGCTGACTGTGCTTTTTCTTCAGCAAAAGATCTTATCTGAAAGGGAATCTGGGTATGGGAGCTGTGTAGGGTACAGACCCTGGGAGGACCAAATGCTCTGGAAAGGAGTTTGGGTGAGGGATGGGGGAAGAGGTCAGACTCAGTGCTTGAGAGGGAAACCTGAGTGAAAGACTGAGCAGCAAAGTCCTTTATTTAATCCATAAATTGGAAGCATAGGCTTCTGGATCCATAAACCCAGGTGGGCCCTTGTCATATTTCGAAGAAATTGTCTACAGAGGAATGAAGATACTGTAGATTATGGCTACTCAACTTTGGAAGCCCTGGGGGCCACAATGATACTCACAGCACATGCCAAGCCCACAACTTAAGTGTGGTTGTATATACATGCAAATATATATGCAAATAGCTTCTTTCACACTGATACCATGAATACAAAAATTAAGGCAAGACAACATGCAGGCCCCATTTAAGTCAGTTCTGCCGATATTAATAAAATGCAATATTTACCTGATTTCCACCCCAGAGGACAGCACTTTTAATGAGCAATGACAGTCCAGGAATTTAACTACTAGAACACATATCAACAGAAGACCATTATATTGACTCGCCGTTGTGGAGCGTGTTCAAAGGATCCCACCTGCGGACTGCATGCTGAGCCACGTGTAAACCCAAACTGCACCGTGGACTGCAAACAAATGGGCCATGTGCCACATGTTGAGTAATCCTGCTGTACATAATGCCAGTTCCCCTCCATTCTTGGTTTTTCTTTGCTCAGACTGCCAATGATGGCAGCTGTGGTGATTAGCAAGGATGTTAAATTGTGTTTAATCAGCTAATCGAGTAGTCAATGGAATTTCCATCGACTACTTGATTAGCCAATAAGGTGGAAAATTGAAGAGCCGCAGAGGGGTTAGCTCCAGGCCTTGGAAGCTAACCCCGCTGTGGCTCTGCCTTTTAAATGTAGTAAGAGCCAAGAAGCGCAGTGTGGCACCCCGGTTCCCCACTGGGCCTCTGCCTCCCCTGCTCCCCCCAGCACTGACTCCTGCTCCCCCTCACTTTGAGGGGGGGGAGAAGAGACTAGTCAAGTAGTAACTCGACTAACCTATAAGCTAGGCTTATTGGGTAGTTGCTGACTATTTGACTAGTCGCTTACACCCCTAGTGATTAGTTTTTATGATGTGGACTTGTACATTAGAAACTGGGCAGTGACTGTCAAATTTGTTCACGTAGAACAGAGTGGCAGACAGTAACAACCTTCTATCACTAGTTACCTGAAAGAGATTTGGCTTAGATTTATGTTTTTAGACATTTGTAATTCATAAACTATTGGACTTTTTTTTTTAATTTAAAATTTCAATGAAACTCAGACTTACCTTTCCTGTCAGGACAGAGGGAAATTCTGAGTCAAACTTGTTGCTCAAGCCAAACCTTAAAAACAAAAAGAGACAAACAAAATATATTCCATCCTACTTGTTTCCCTTTTCAAATATAAGTTATGGATCACTTCATTTGGTGTTTAAGAAAAAAGGAAAGTAGAATGTTTCCCTCTACTTTTGTTTGTACAATTAACATATTAGGCAAGGATTCATCAATTTAAAGTGTTTTTAGATGCAAAATGCAAAAAAAGTGACTAGAACTGTAAACAAATGGCCAGGAAAAAAATTCTCAGAAAATAGCAGTAACCTGAATTTAAATTTGAGATTCTTCATAAAATTACTATTAAACTAAAATTCCAATTTGAAAAGCGATCCAATTAATCATTATACACGTTTTTTAGTTTGTGTTTGTTCACGTCACAGATATATCTAGTAATAAGCAAATTAGTTTGATTTCCCTATACAAAATCTGTAGCCTAATATTTAAGAATAGTTAGATTAAGTTGAAGCAAATTCACCATGCAATACCTATGGAAACTCATGCGTAGCATAGATTTTAAGACATGAATAATAAGCAAACTAAATTTTACATTAATCATCTCTAGTGGCTGGATTTCTAATAGCACAGTACAGGTGTACCTCCCTGTTCTGGCACCCTTGGGACCTTACTGGTCCCAAATAAGGGATTTTGCTGGACCAGGAGAGGTAATTTCTGGTGCCCCTGCTGCTGGCCCCACTACCTGTCCTGCCGCCTCACCACTGGGTTGCGCGCTGGGCTTCCTGGTTTCCACCCTCTCCCTGCTCTGACCCTCTCTCCCTCTTCTTGCAGCCCAGCTGGGAACAGGCAGTGAAACCTAAAGGAAGCCAGCTGTCTTGCAGAGTTTAATAGCTCTGCAGGGGTAATAGAGATAGGAATAGCTCCTGATCCAACACAAACTGAAAACTGATTTGAAGATTATCAGCTTTGTGGTTAAGTATATGACTTGGTGAAGTGTATGCTGCTTTCTTTTTACAATTATAAACCTAGGAAGTTAAATAGTGGCTAATCCTGACACTGAGCCCTGTAGCTTTGCTATGATCACTGGACCACTGATATTTAATCTTCCTTTCCCATGATGCTCTATACTTCACAGTTCTATAAGTCACTGCGATATACACGTAGTTTATGGACTCAGGGAGCTATAAACTTTTATACTTGAAGAAACAAAGCTGTTTTCTGAGCTCTGAGTTTAGTGCTCCACTACAAACCCTGATGAATTATCTTACCTGGTTACTTCCAACTTTTCCTTTTAATCCTAATATTAATGTGATGCATTTTTAATAGTTATATTTCTTGTAACAATCTTTTTAAGTTCTTTTTTTTGGGGGGGGGGGAGGGGAAGGAAGGGGAAAATATGCATAACATGTCTCCAAAAACAAAGATTTAGATAACTTATGTTAACTTTGGGAGGCGGGAACTTATGATTTATCTATGCAAATACCAACACTGCTGACCACCTGCGTACCATAACGCCACAGATACTCATACTTGACAATTTAACACAGTGATATTCAGAGTGAGGTTAGCAAGCTGCAAGTTACTTTTCAATGTGTGTCTTTCAGCCGTTTGCAGTACATGTTATTAAAACACTGTGTGATTTAATTATTAATGAGTAAGGATGATTTTACTATGTTATTAACCAATTAAGTAAGGCTGTGAAAATTATTTATATAATGAGGGCACACTGTGACTCTTGGGTAATGCTGATCACTAATTTGGCTCCTGAACCACCCAAGTCTTAGTATCACTGATTTACATGAACTCAGCGGTGGAGACGAGTGCATAATTAACTGTAAACAAAAGTGAAGCAAAAAAACCTCTCTATAACTAAGTCTACTACAATGTTTGTAAACAGTACTAGTGTTTTATTAAGCATTTCATTAACTAATTTAATAATTAAAGCTATGACACTAGTAATCTATTAAAAACAGCACTGGCATAAAATGCGTAACAACAAATGTATATATATATATAAAGCATACCCTGAGGTTGCACATCAAATGCAGACCCAATCCAGTTCTTAAATTATACTAGGTGATCATTTAGTTTCATTTAAGGGATGCCAACAAGCAGTACAGGCAGTCCCTGGGTTACGTACAAGATAGGGACTGTAGGTTTGTTCTTAAGTTGAATTTGTATGTAAGTCGGAACTGGTACATATTGTAGGGGAAACTCTAGCCAAACATTTCTCCAGAGCTCAGTTTTATTCTCCCACACCTCACTTCCCTCAGTCCTTTATTCTCAAGCTGAGGTGTCTGCTGAGAAAAGCGGCTCTGCGTCTCCCTGGTCTGCTGGGGGGGGGGGCGCTAGCTTCGCGTCTTCATGGTCTGCTGGGGGGAAGCAGCTAGTGCGGGGTTGCCTCACCCCGTTTGTAAGTAGGGATCCGATGTAAGTCGGATCCATGTAACCCGGGGACTGCCTGTACTCAAATGCACAGTTAAATTCTAGAAGTCAGCACGTTAAACAGCAGAAGTGTCATGTTGATATTCCATAAGTCTTCTCAGTGATTTTGCAAAAATGCTTTTGTCTTTTCTGTCTTTCTTCCTTGAGTATCTGCACTTTTTTATTTCTTATATAGCATAAATATTAGCGTTTCACTCATTAAGTTTATTAATAGTTCTTATGCACAGCAATAGCAACCCAAAGACTACAGTTTATTAAAGACAACTTTCAGAATCATGTGCTAAAGAATTATAAATCTAATATCAGAAAGCAAAAGTACTACAAGTTAAAAGCAGAAAATCATTAATATTTACAAAAAGTTCATTTCTATTCATCTTCACTGTAAACACTAATTCCTAAATTAAACGTGTTTATGTTGGATTTACTTTAACACAAAGATTACTAAACTCTATCTTGTCTCCACATTCTGTCAATGTAATCTGACATGTGAGAATCCATTTTCAGTGTATCTTCTTATTTAACACTACATAAACTACAAGAGTAATGAGCTAGTCTTTATTTAACCTTAAGGGAAAAAAAACAGAGGGGGTGTGTATCTCTGTATCTATCTATATATCTGGCAACTAAAAATGTCTGTTCTTGACCATCTACTAAGGGATTTCCCAACTATTAGCAATGAGGAGATCCAAATCAGTTTACAGAATTGAAGCAATAAGACAATATAATTGTATTTAGATACCCCATTTTGAAAATTAAAGCATGTGAAAATTATAATTCTGATGTACTTATTAATTTACGCCCTTTTAAAATTCCTTCAACACAAGCACCACCACCAATGGGGGGGAAAAACAGATTAAAACTTGTCAACTACACTTGCTAAGAATAACAAGTGCTTTTCTTGGTTTTCTTACCATATATTTTACTTAGTAGACTTTGAAAGCATATGCAGCACACCTTCAATCACAACTACTTGTATCAGCCCAAAAATAGTCTCTCCGATTTCAAAGAAATATTGGAATGTATAACATACCCAAGAAAGCTCAACTGAGAAATTGTATTTCCGGAGAAGAAGCCCCAGAGCACCACCGTATTCTGCTGCAAGAACAAACAGAAATACAGTACAGACCACAGAGAGGCCCTGCTGGACTTGTACCCCAGAAGGAGTTTGCTTTGTTTTAACAGACTGTGTGGGACTTGGCTGGAGGGCTAAGTCACTGATGAACCTCCACAAATAAGGTACAGGTACATGCACTTGGCTAGAAGGTGCTCACCAGAGGTAAGTACAGCCTTATTTCAAGTATGAAGTTGTCTAGCTTCAACATCCAATCACTGAAAGTTATCTTTCACTGATAACTTGTAACAGTTATTAAACGTTTCCTTTTTAGATAGCTTAACAAAAAGACTATTAAAGGGGTGATCTTAATGCTGTTTGCAAGTTAAGTAGTTCGAGCTCTCTGAGTACACCTCAAGAAGGCAGGCTTTCCAGAACACATTTAGTGTGTGACACAAGGTTTTGCCTCTCTGTTTATTCAAGAACTCCTCCTAAATGGTAACAGCTAGGACCACCAAATTCGGTACATAGCTTCCTGTTATAACTTAAAGCAGGAGTTTTCAAACTTGGGTTGTGAGCCCGCCCGGGAAAGCTGCTGGTGGACTGAGAGATGCTTTGTTTAGCTAAGCATCCATAGGCATGAAGCCTTGCAGCTCCCATCAGTTGCAGTTCACCGTTTCCAGCCAAAGGGAGCTAGGGAAGCGGTATGGGCCGGGCTGCCACTTCCCACATTTCACCTTGGCTGGAAATGATGAACCACAGAGAATGGAAGTTGTGAAGTTCCAGTCCATACAAAGCATTGTATGGCCCACCAGTGACTTACCAGGGTAGGCCCATGATTCAAGGTTGAAAATTCCTGACAAATCAAGGCAAGGGCTTGGTTGTGCAAGGAAAATGGGATGTGCCTGGAATGGGATTACTTCTCATAAAATCACACAGAAAAGAGAATCACCATGCAGGACAAAGGCGATGGCCAGGGATGCATCCACTCCCCCATCCAGGACTGTCCCAGCCCTGAGCCTCCCACTCCCAGGTGCCCTTTAGAGAGGGTTGGGGAGAGGCACCTGAAGCTCCCTCACGATTCGTATGGGAACATTGCTGGCTCTTCCCCTTCATCAGGGAGTGAGGGGAAAGTGCACAGTTTGCTGCATTTCTCACTCTGGCTTGGGAACGCAGGGGCAGATGATCTTGGACATGTCCCCACTAGGGGACGTCTCCCCCATCCCCACTATGCCTGCTGGAGCTGCAGTGACCATGGAGAGGTGCTTCTCACCTGGCCCCAAGCTGTTGTGGTGAGAGACGGTTGGAGTTGTCCTCCCTCCTTAGGCCAGCCTACATACTGAACCCCTCATCCTCAGAGCAATGAAGCACAGACATTTTCATTTTATTTAAAAACAAACTTTTTTGAGTTAAGGACCAAAGCAATGCTGAGTAAGTTGTCTAGTACACTTACAATTAAAAAATTCTTCCTTGTTTATACCCTAAACTTTCTCTGCTGATTAAGCCCATTACTATTTGTCCCAACTTCTGGGGAGGTGGAGAACAGTCTCTTCATAAT